TACCTACTGTTTTCAGTCCAGATGTGTAATATATTTACATTTTGCATAATCTAGAAGTTATCTAAGGTCAGAAGATATAAGTTACTTTCATAATAATGCAGTTATTAATTTATTAAAATTATTAATATATAAAGTTAATAGGAACCTATTTCATATTTTTTCTTATTTAACTAAATTTGCATCTGTTGTTTTAATCAACAATTAACGATATTGAAAAAACAATGTATAGATCATGGATGAGGTTTATACTTATCATTAAAGAAAATCTGCATTGTTTTATGAAGATATAGATTTTCGGATAATTTTAACGTATACATAAATGCATTATTTAGAATACAGTTACATTCTTATTCAATTGTTATGAATTAAAATTAATCAAATTTAAATATTTTACCATACAGTTACTCGATTTACGGTTATACTTTTTAAGAGTAATAATTTGGAATAATTGTACCTGTATATAACAATTGCATATACTATAACTAATAATCATATTTATAACTATGAGAAAATACAATATGTATAGGTTCGCATAGAGTAAATAACACTTAAGATTTATATTTAAAAAAATATGTATACACATATTATTTAGAATAGTACCTAGTTTATATCCATAGGCACTATAGCCACTAGAAAAATAAGTAATTACCAAACATTACTAAAGTTATTTAATAATTTGGCAAATATATTGCTGTCAAATCTTCTCAGTTGGATGTGTTCTTTTTAATTTAACTGTAGATACGATGATTTTAGTAAGATGATATTTGTGGATAGAAGTCTCGATTTTATGGAGATTAAAAAAAACATTTATATGGTTATAATAATTTACGTCCTTAAATGTATCAAATAAACACACATTTGAGAGAAAAAATGAAGTAAATAATACAAATATACTAAGAATCATTTATATTAGATACGGTCAGAATGATACTTCTAAAAAAAAGTGCACAATAAAATATTATTATAGGTAGCATGCGAGCATATATACTGTATTTGTGTTGCCCCATAGCATTCAATCTGGAAAATCTGTTAGAAAAGTGAGGCCTCTCTGCAATGACCTCGTATTTGACACCATTATAGGTATAGGAAAATACAAAACTCTTCGTTTCCGGTTGTATTATTAAACGTCGACGGAAATGGTTATGCAGAATGATTAAAAAAATTATATTAATATAATACGAAAATGCGTTTCAACGGGTTTTATAGGTAGATATTTTATTGTATATATTTTGTATGTAGTGTTATTGTTAGATTCAATATAACATATATTATTCAATGTATACATAAAAAAAAATTATCTATAACATTTATGGTCGTATTCATGGATTATAGAATTGATTTCGTTTCAGCAGTGGTTTAAAATAATGTATTCCGTTATAATTTTATTTTTGTTATTATAATATATTGATTTATATACCTATATTTCAATAATCTGTATAAATAACGAGTAAAACATACCAGCCGCAGCTGAATTACGTTATACTTACCTATACTAAACTGTTGTTATCCACACAACGTTGTACGGCGACACGGGGCATTATAACTTACTGTTGTATATCATATTATTAATTAATCGTATGTTGAAAAATAATATCGTTATAAGAATAAAAAGCAGGCGTAAAAAAATGAAAATGCTTCACATGTTAACGTTGTTCGCGTTCATAAATATTTTATATACATAGTAAAGTATACATATATACATATATGCTACACTGTATAAGCAATATTACACTAGGTATATAATATATAATACGTATCTATAGGTACCTATATCTAATATCTATATACGTATATACACATCAATTGGTCGCGCTATTGGTTATACATGCGTGTTACAGCTCGTTATCGATTTGTTTCAAGACTTTCAAGATCATTATTTCCTTGTTGGTATAGGTAGGTAGGTATATAGAACACACTGACAATATCATAAAATCATAACATATCACATAAAAATGGTTTTAATGTTTTTTTATTTTCTTTTGTGTAGTTTTCCCTGTCGTATTTTTGATATGTAAAACCGAAAATCGTGTACACATATTATACACATCATAACTCCATGATGGCCGTACGTATCGCGTCCTTTTTATATAAATACTTATAGGTATAATCACTATAGTTACAGATATTATGCCAATTTATCAGATTATAAACTGAAACAACCTGATATAACGGATCTCTGCTTTTGATTTTTTTCTCTATTAAAATTTTAGCGAATATGTTTGCCTACTTTTAAAACGTTGACACTTTTATTTTGGTAATTTCTATTATTTTCGTACAAACTCGTATACACACAATTGTCAATATTGTTACATTCAACACCATCATTACATTAAAAACAAACCAACACCGTCAATTTTAAATCATAAATTCTATGCACTTTATAAGTACTTCAAGTTTCCGCAATGACTTCTTAATCAAAAACCTCATGAACTTTAAAATAACACGTAATGTGAGGGACAGGACACAGGAATATGGTAGGATACAGAAGACCTTAACACCAAACAGTAGTAATTGTAATACTAAACCTATTGTTTTCATATATTTTAACACATTCATCGAGTTCGGACAGCTATTCAGAGATGAGGTAATTAAAACCACGCACTTCATAGCATTCCTTTTTTTACTTTTTATCTTTTGTCTGACTGTTCCTCGGGGTTAGTAAAAATATTGAGGAAATCAAAAAACGCATTTTTAATAAGTACCAACACCTATATAAAAATAATATGCTTGACGAAACTTTTAGAAGTTTTTTTGCTAACATACTAGGTACTTGCCTATAATAAAATCCAACACCTTCAAAAAACAATATTATGTAGAGTGATCTATTTAATGTATTATTCGAATGGCATTTTGAGTGTCTTACGTTAAGCAGATCAGTATTTATAAAGTATCTTCATACGTAGAATCTTAATACAAAACATACATATTTCTAAATTAGATAAACCAAACTCGTGGGGCTAATTAAGATAGTTAATTTTTATTTAGGTGCTTTTAGACATTTAATATTAAAATAATAAAATAATTAATATTTAATATTTAATATTATATCAAATCTATAAAGCCGCGTCAATCGTTGCGCCACTGCACAGCAATCAGACTGTGTAATACGATATAGTTCGTTCCATCAATAACAAATTCGTGTTTATAACGATATAATAATAATTATATTTAAAAAAAAAAAAATAATAACACTTGAGACGCCGTTTTTACACTATTGTTATTTTATAATAACAATCGGTTGTTATATACACATTGGTACCGATATAATATATATTATACATTATAGTAATAATAACAATAATAATAATAAATAGAACGGCGCGCGTTGGACGTGATGTCATTATGATCTGCGTGAGGACCATTACCTCACCGCGCTGAGGCCAGACGGACAATCACGCGGACCTTACGCCACCCGCACGATTGGCACGGAAACCGTCAGTGTTGAGTGTTGTCAACCACTGACAGAAAATAAAATCATTTTTTAATTTATTCATAGGATTCGACTAAACGATATAGATGACTATAAAACTATGTCCTATTCAATATGTAGATAATCACATCTTATCAATGTAGGTATATTCAACATTATGCTGTTTAGCGTACAGCTACCGCAGTCGTTTTGACTTCTATGAGTTAAAAAAAATATAAGTAACTTTCAACTTTAACTTAAATTTGTCTGTATTAACTTGACTTATACGTTTTAAAAAAATAATATGGAATGTGCCCAGCTTAGCTATTACAGTAATATCGAAGAGATTTTAGAAGTCTGTGATGCGTACTTGATCGAGAGTATCGATCATCAAACCGAGTAATAATTATACCCATAATTACCCGTCTAATAAAGTGATAACTCTGAGAGGGGAGACGTAAAATAATTAATGTTTCTCTCCTCGGACACGAGCCACTAGTAAATTGTTCTATCCGACCGATAAACCTAATTGGTTTGGTCGTGAACGACGGCGATTGCAGTATAAGTATTCCACAAGTAGTTATACAGTATTTAGAATTAGTAATAGTATAGTAAGTTGTAATAGTATAGAGTAGTAGTAGTAGTAGCAGTAGTAGTAATAAGAGTTATACTGCACTATAGTACCTAGTGCACCTATAAGTAGTAGCTTCAAACCAAACATGTAATCCAAATTACCTTCATCTCGACTAGGTTCTTATTATTATGTTTCGAATTATATAGCTGTACACCTACATAGTAATATATACATTATACATATTACTGTGATATTTGTAATACACAAGAGTCACGATGGCTGATAAAAATTACGTTTAGAGAATAGATTACCTCTGAGGCGTTATATAAAACAAATACTACTATATTATATTATGTAGGTACCTAATACCTACCTATACGGCTATAATACTATATGTATTATAATATAATTTCGACTCAAAATTGTCGTTACCTTTACAAAATGTAATACAGACGAATGAATAACGGTGATTATATCTTATAATGGGTTTTTTTTTTTTTTTTGGAAATATTCAAATACACGTGGAACATTTGCTAGATATAATAAAATATTTTACTTACAGATAGGTATAGCTATAATAAGAATAATACAACATTATAGTGATCGTTTTTGTTATCCGATTATTGAGCCGTTAAATGATTGCATATGTAATATATTATGTTATAGAAATCGATTTGAAATAAACAAAATGTGCAGCATTACAACATATGAATAATAAAAAAAATAATGTAAAAATAGTATGGGTACATATAATAATAGTGTAATAATAGTGTAACAGTATAATACATCTGTAATAAATTGTGAGCGAATGTGACAGACTTTTAATTAGGTTTACATATATTTAAATCGCATCGCTTTCTATAATATATTATATTTTTAATGTGTATAATATTTAACTACAATACCGCGACCGCAGCAATTGAAAGTTATTACGCGAGTTTATGACTGGTAAAACTATACAAATATAAATAATGTTCTTTTTTTTTACTAAAAGTTGAAAAATAAAACTGTACTCACTCGTAAGACAGTCTTGGCAATAATTTTTTTTGTAATGACAAAACTATTGGTTACTGCCAATTGCGATTGCACTGCTGCAGAAAACGGATTTTGATCTTCGCGAAACACACTGTAACACGAAAAAACACACCGTAAGTGTAAGCTTATTGTATTGTTGTGTATACCTGCATTGCTATAATATTATTATATACCTATCTCATACTATATTATTTCATTATTACACGCGCTGCAGTATGTAAAATAGAGGGCAACGTCTCTTGCTGGTCCGTAAAGAGTTCGACCGCCACACACAACGCGCGTACACAATAAAAACAACAACAATAATAATAATATAATTTACATGTGTCGGCCGACAACGCACGCGAATATACGAAAAAAAAATCATTACCCGACGTGTGTGTTGGTCGGACACTTTATCAAAGCTTATCGTCATCATAATATATTACATGTACGTATCCATATAATATACCTTTATACATCATCGTGTACCTATATATATTAACTCTTGTAGTTCACGTGTGTTAGGCACACCAGTTGTACCTCCCAACCCTTACACGCACTTCCTGGAGGTAAGGAATATTCATATAATGTCAGCTTAATATCATATACTTTATATATACTATGTACTCGTCATGTACATAATGACCCGCGACGTCTAATAGCGTTCCCTACGACCTACCTTCGGTAATATTTGCGAATAATCGAGTGTAAAAATTTATATACCAAAACAAATTATGGTTTGTATAATACACCGTCCACGAACATAACACTATATGGGTTTTAAGCGGATAGTGGTAATGTTCTTCGAAATTATTATTTAATTTTTTTTTCTTATAACGCTCAGAGTGTGAAACGTGTACATAGGCATACATATAATAGACATAGGAAGTCGTATATCACATACGAAAAAGTTAATTAAAAGTACAAAATACAATTATTATAATAGACACCATATAAAAATGAAATACAACGAAAAATGATACGAATATTACTGTCTATTCAATCTGCAAGACAACGACATTTTTCTACCGACGGAAACATTTTCGTTTTATATCGAGTTGTCCTCGTACACAATTTACTTTATTTATACGGGGGGAAATTTAGAATTATTTATAACTTACATTTTACATTTACGTACCTAAATATTACTTACATTTGACTATTTGAGTGTCAAATACGTATTCTACATAATTATTAACGTTTAAGATAATTTAAAATGAAAATCGTATTATGTATTGAGGCATAAAACTACAGAAATTAAAACTAAATCACACAATACATTTTAGATTTTCTTCGAGTGTTAAGTATAAAATGTATTTTGGTGAATTTAATAAAAATATTTAAATCTTAAACCATTTAAACAAACACGATTATATTGACATTAAAATATAACTGTTTAAAATGCTTAAATAAATCTATTATACATAATGTGTATAGGTACAAAACGTTTATTAGATGAAGTTTTTTGTTTTATTTTATTGAACATTTCAAGACAAAAAAATAATGACTTAATTGTCTGTATATAGTTTGAAATTCGAAAGACCCGTTATAATAATGACCAGTGTTATTATGTTTACGTATAGGTTACCTACCTATACTCATATATTATTTTTAAGATAATATGTTGATGTTATAATAATTGTAACATAATTTGAGAATACAGAATAAAAAAAAATATATAATTCCTTAGATCAGTCGAACAATTTTATTTGGAACAATATTTTAAAAAGACGTAAAAAAATCGACGATTTTGATAATATTATAATATCTGAAAAGTGAATTTAATTTGACCCAGCCGTGAATAAAAATCGTAGTGTAGGTGCAGGCAGCAGAAGCAACATAGCTGTTGTTATCCGAATGATTAGACAAATGTTTAACTATCATGATGAGCCAGTAAGTTGTAATTTTTTTTTTCGCTTGACCGCCGCTAATTACTACCACCAAACTAGCCGAGAACCAGTTTGTTGGTAGGTAAAAAAAAATGAGAGACGGACAGAAAAGTAATTGATTAGGATTGTAATAATTGCCGACAGAAACCCGTTAACAATCGGCCGGAGCACACTGAACTAGATTTTTTCTGTCTTATAAATCCATCGAGAGTTCTGTCAGTATATTATAAATTATAATTTAGAAGTGTACAACATATACGATGTCATAAAATATGATTGTCTTGAATAATACCTAACCATAATATTATTATAGGTTTTACAAACTTATAATTTTTGAACCAATGTAATCGTTTAATTTGCGCAGTGTGGACAAATAATCGACTAGTTCCATCGTCTAAGTATCATACGATATTATAGCATACGATATTTTCCAAAAATTACAATTTTGTAACTAAACAAACATAATATTATATATTACCAAGAATTATCACTGATATTGATATAATAGCGACTAGCCACTTGGTAGGTAGTAGGTATAACATTTTAAAACGAGATTTTGGTAAACTCATTGGACAAATGATTTGTTGTTATACATTGTCGGCATAAAACATCATCACTAATCATCTAAATTTTAATAAAACAGCAAGTGAACATGTGACATTTATGTCAAAACTTTTTACTGTTCACTTAAATGTTTGTTTCTATCACTAGTATCACTAAACGACTCTTTCAACAGTTTAGTGCTTCTGGTACCCTTGATAATACATTTTCTTTTTGGCGATGAACAAACTTCGTATGCCATTTGCTTCCCTTACCTTCGTGGAAACATGCCTAATGGTAATTAATATGTATATAAGAAATAAACAGATTATATATTATTTGTATGATAATTTGATATAGGTAACATAAAAAAAAAAAAACAGGAATTATATTGTTCAATAAGTTATAAGTACTTACCAATGTATACCTATTGCAATAAGTTGTAACAATAATATGATAATGTTCAAGGATAGGACAGTTATTGATAAATTATCATAATATACATACCTACTCAAGAATATGACCTTAACTCGTTTGTGACCAAAATTGGACTTTAAAATATCTTCAATTAGGAACTGGATATTGAATTTTTTTTATTGCACATATTATGTCCAAATTGGGTACATTATCATTAAATACAGTCAATGGTTTTTTGGTTGGTACCTGGTAGAAAATTGTTCTCTCACAGTTTAACCAATATGTTATGTCATTATATGATCAGCGAAATCAAATCGTCAAAGAGCACTGGCCCACTGCAGTCTGCAAGGTGTAATATTTTAGGTTCTTCACAAAAAAAAAATCAAAATGCTATTGGACTCACATAATGTTAATTTTTTTCGAACTACATATTTTTGTCACGCAATAATGATGCATTTACAATAATTATTCAACGATTTGTTTAATAGATCAATGTTGTACAACATATGACTTAAAATGTTCGATAAATTACACGACCGAAAAATAATGAAGTATTGACAAATTAAATTCAAACAAGTTTTTTTATATTATTATATTTTTACGAAGTATCATTGACATTAAAAACACTTTGCATTGTTATACCACATAACATCATTAAAATTGTTATACCTACGATAGAAATAAACTAATATATATTTAATTGTTGTTATATTTGAGTTCGAAATTTAAGATATTCGAATACTTTTTTTCCTGGTAATGCGTTTTTAAAATCGCAACCGATTAGTATAAGTATATCCAAGAAATATATCACTGTTCGGAGGAATTTAACAATAATATTTTCCTAATATTGGAAGACCTGCTTAGCTAACCAAGAACTTCGCAATTTGTGATGTAATGCATCGGCCAGTATATGAATAAAATGCAATGTTATCTTCAAAAAATCTGAACAAAATAAATACTAATGCGGTTTTAGGGCCTTCGATGCATCTATTATAATACCTGATAATATAGTGATGACATGGTAACGAGTAGATTTATCGGCGACAGTGAGAATTGCGTGTTCGTTTTTCGACGTTGGAAGAAAAGGATTTTTATCGCGTTACCTTCCGACACTTAAAAATATTGCATTCAAGCCATATATATATATTAGATCTGAGCATAATATACATTATATAATAATATATTTTAGTACATGGTATTATAGATACGTTCATTCCGATTGGAGACCATTAAGGTTGTACCAGCTTAAACGTTATTATAACGTTATAATATCATAGAGTTTGCGCGCTGGAATAAGTAGTCATGGGTACTAGATAATCATACTGATCTGGGCACATTTCAGCGGGGTACATGAGCACTGCGAGCGTGTAGAACATTATCGTATAGTCTACCCATAGTAAAACCTATAGTCTACACACACATAGTACCTATGTCCTATAGTCTACCTTTGAATAAAATAGTGTTTAATGGGTATGTTAAATAATATTATATTATAATATCGTAGACGCACGGCGTAGTCGGAGTGCGGTGTATATAGACAACAATCGAAGAGTCGGCGAGCGGGTACCTATATAATTATAATTAACGTTATTTATACAGCTGCTGACGGTGCTGCTGCAGTTTTAACATAATGCGCATAGCGTTGCACACACGAGACGGTAAACCGAGCGAATCAGATAAATAAACATAATTTCGTGTGTATTAAATAATTATTTATCGGCATCGGTCGGCTGCTGCGGGCGAATAATGGCCCTAAAATGTTATTGTATATTATCCGGCACGGGCACAGGTACGTATATTGATATATTCCGTGTCGTAAACCATAAGCCCCGGAACGAGCGCGTCATCGTTATCCATCGCGTTTCGGTGCGTGCGTGAGCGTAAAATGCATTTTCGATCCGATAGGGATCTGTACACGACCCGAACAAGAGCGGCGAACACGATTTTTACATATATAGCTACACACACTTTACACGCGCGCATTGGGTATAAATGCCTCGGTCACACGACTCGGAAACTATGTGTGTTTCAAGTTCGATTTTAATTTATACACAGAATGTAATCAACGTCGCCGTCGCCGCCGCCGCAGTTTGTGTGCGCGCTCACTATAATAATATGTAATATAATAATATATCGTATCTGATATTCTCATCGTATCTATATATATATGTATGTACATTATAATATTATTAACTTTAACGCAAAACGATATCACGTTAACCTATACAGGTACACCGGACGACGACGACGACAACGCATAAGT